TGAGCAGCTAAAGAGGAACAGTGCCTGGAAATTTCTAACCTTGCGGTTAGCTTTGCTGTACTTCTAACTCCAAAGGACAGTGGGAGAAGGAGCCCAAGGATGCACTGCTGATCACTCCCTTTTGCCCCATTTCCTCAAGCTTCTGTCCAACAAAGGCCAGATGGTAGTGTGGAAGCCCCCCTCCAGCAGGACCAAGTCTGGCCTGTCTGATGACAACGATCACAGAGAGAAGAGTCCCAAAGCTGGGTAAGAGTGGGTGGACACTGAGGTACCTCAGTGGCAAGGATGGGACGGGGGCCTGTGAGGTAGGACTTGGGCCCCTGATCTTCCTCCTCCATTCACAGCTTGGTGCTATTCTACTCTCCTTGATGGAACTTCCTGAAGGATCTCAGGTGAGAATATCCTTGTCCTATTGGAAGTGGCTGCCTCCCTGATAGCGGGCAGGAAGCATGAGACTTGTAGGGTGGGATAAGGTACTGGGAAGGTATGTGTCTGTCAAACTCCAGATTCCAGTCTGAAGGAAGGAGCCAGCAACGAGGTCAGATCTGCCCTGGGATTTCTCCCAGAGGCGGCACGTGGTGGTAAAGGGCAGAATCGTTATTCTCAAGTTAGCAGGACAGGCAAATCAGCAATGGAAAGCACTTGTCTGCTAGGGTCAGACCAGATGTTTGCCTTAGAATATGCTTAAAATCCAGTTGGGGCTCAGCACACAACAAATTGCATTTCTACACTTCCACTTGGCAGTCTTACAGTTCAAACTCTGAATCCCAAAAAAATGACTTTCTGGAAGCTGAAGAAATCAGTTTGGGTTTTAATTAGGCTGTCTTTGGTGGTACCTATTTATTTACTTATTTATTTTTAAAGTTTTAAAACAAAGTTTATTAGCGAGAAGAAGAGAGGAAAGAAAGGGTAGGCAGAAGTTTTGTATCAGAAAGGCCTGGCATGGGCAAGTCTCTCTTGGAAAAAAAAGAAAGACTGCCTGGTGGCACCTTTAACTGAGCACTCTCATTCTCCATCTCCCACATGCAGCAAATCCTTGTGATGCCCCTGCTTAGGAGGTAAGCTGGAATCATAGAAATGTTTCTTGCCAAGTTTTCTCATGGCCTACTGCTCATGGCAGCCCCCACATTAATATCTGTATTTCTGCATGTGCTTTGTTATCCTGTTGGCCCTGAGTTTTGATAATGAAATTTCCCCCAGCAAGCACGCATTCATTCTTAGGTTCCCACCAAATCTAGCTCAGAGAGCTCCCCCAGGAGCACCAGTCTCCTAAAAATAGGAACCAAAAAACTGTGGCTTCAGACCCCAGTGGTAGGCAAAAAACTTTAATGAAAGAAGTGATTCCAAAGAATGCAAATCAATGCTAACCCTAATGGTTCAAGCTGATGGGATCTCTGAGTTCACGTATAGACAACACATACAAATGAACATATGAAATCACCTTGGTGGCCAAAAAAAAAAAAAAAGTGTTATACAAGCAGATGTAAATACAAGATGTGATGACGATGGAAATTTCACAGTATCTATAATGGGAGCTCTGCTTAAGAAGGAAAAGGATGAAGCAAGAGAGTTCAGGATGAGTTCCCTCCACAAGATGCAAATACTTCATGTCACTTTGTCCACTGGATACAGGCCGTGAAGTGATTAAACAAGAGGAGACAATGTAGGTGACAGCCAAAGTTATTTCCTTCTATACTTAGCAATGGTCTGACCTTCATTATAAAGTGATACAAGAAGATTTGGCCTGTGGCCAGAGGACAATGGTCATAAGATCTAAAGGAGATTGAAGGGGGGGGGAAAGGCTTCAGTTGGTTCAAAGTAAAGCAAGAAGACAAAGAAAACTGGGTAAAAATTGTCCAGGTTAAGCTGTTTTTGGTGACAACAAGTTCATACTCTCTCTCCCACTGGTAATCCTGTTTTCACGTTCATTTTAAATAACATTCAATTACTTAATCTTACTAACTTTCATGGTGATGGTGTGATACTGAAAGCTGTGATCAAAAACTTTAGGACAGTAGAGATTTTCTCCTGTGTTAATTATATCCAAATAGCTTTAAAAAGTGAATGCAGATAAGGAATAGCAGAGCTTTTATGAGACTGTGCCAGTAGATGCTTCTGTTTAACAGCTGAGTACCACTGGAAAAACCCAAAGGATTCATCTCCATGCCTAAACAAATGAAGGCAATATTCAGCAGAGCATTCCTCTGAGATAAGAGGTCTGATCCTTTCTGGGTCTGTCGTGAGGACTCTATAGGTGGGTAGGGACACACCAGGGAAACAACTAAGATGAACCTTGCTGAAACTGCCATAGGAGCTCACAGAACTTTGCTTCCTCTCAGCCCACTGCACTTGGAAGTCTAGGCCTGTGTGTGGTCTTGCACCCCCACCCAGGTAGGCAGGTAGCAAGAAGGATGCTGGCATCAGGAGGCAAGTTCTCATTCCAGCTCTGACACTTGGAGGCTGGATGACCATGAACATCTGCCTTGATTTCTTCAACTTAAGTTTCATTTGTAATATGAGAAGATTGGACTAGATCCATGGCTTCTCATCTCATGCCCAGTATTACAACTGTCCACAGGTTCCACCTAATCTGGCCCCTCACCATCTCTCAGAGTCATCTCTCCCCCTTCCATCAGTCTCCTTGCTGGAACACACCAGGCTCATTCCTACCTCGGGGCCTTTGCAGCTGCTTGTCTTCTGTATGCAACATTCTTCCCCGGGATATCCATGTCTGGCTTCCTCACACCTCTCAAGTGAGTCTAGTATTCTCAGGGAGGATTGACTCACAATTGCAAACACCATTACCTCCCCTCACTCAACAATCCCTACTTCCCACTTCAGCTTAAAAGTTTTTTCTACTTAACACTCAGTATTCCAATTACTATATATTTTACTTTATTTTGTTGACTATCTACCCCAGCTAGAATGTCAGCTCTCCAAGTGCACAGATTTCTATCTTCATTGTTCCCTGCTGTATCCTCAGTAACTGGAAGCATGCCTGGGACATAACAGGAATTTATGTGCTGAATAGATATGTACATGGAAGTGTGGAAGGGAAGGTGGAAGGAGTATAGACCACTACAGTGTCTTTGGTCTGAGGTCTGTGGGCTGTGGTGCCTATGGTCAGAGAGTTCTCTCTGCCACCAGGATGGACTCTGTAACCACATGAAAAAGACAAGCTAATCCAAGCGAGTCACAAAGGGCTCAGGGCCAAATGTGGTATGCTTTCACTCCACTGCAGAACTTCCAAGTGCTGCTTCCCGAATGCTCCATGCCATGAGCTGAAGGGCTCTGTACACACAGTGTTCTCAGCAAACAGCAATACTGTGGCCTGCAAATGCTATCTATGAGAAATTCTTTACATTGGCATTCAGCTCTGAATTTCCAAAGACCAAATTAATATCATCTGGGGGCAGCACAGTTATATCCATCTCTTTGCTCTAGTTCTTCATTTAAAATCCCTGGGACAAGAGAAGTAAGTTTCCCTGCTGCCATACCATACTGTCGTTTGTCCTGCAGTGGGAAAAGATGGTAAGGCTCCCGCATGCATTTCAGCCAGCTCCACTAGATGGCAACATGGTCAGGATGTGTGAGTATCCAAAGGGGACATTTACCAAGAACACAGGGTAGAAGCTCCCATGGCCACTTCGCCACTCAGATCTCTGCTTGGCACTCACTCCCTAGCCTCCCCTTCACTTCCAGTCTATCTTCAACCACTAATTTATAATCTGTTCTCAAATGGTTCATGCTTACTCACAAATGCATATGACTTAATCACTCCAGCCTTGGCAGCTTTTTGTGTATTTCTTTTTGCCAAAGTATATTACTTATACCCTCCCTTTGGAACTCTACCCAGAACTCACTTCTTCCACAAAACCTTCCCAAGCAAACCTGGCTCTGATACCAACTGTATATATGCCATGATATACAGTCACAGACACATAAACATTTTAATAGATTGAATACATACATACAGATTGGATTATATATGTGTCTGTGTATATAGACCTGTATACACACATACACATATAATATGAATGACAGAATCACATGCACAGTACACAGCTCTGGGAATCCAGTAGACAAATGTAAATTTAATATAAATGATGTACAGGTGACCACTTTCTGTACAAAAGAAGTCATGACTCTACAAAATAGTATTTATTGGCTGCCAAGGGTTCAATTAATGGGCCAAGAGACTAGCAACACCTGCCTTTGTCTTGCAATTTCTAGTTTTTTCTAGTATTCAATTTAAGCACCAGAAAATCTTTTGAGCAGAAAAATTTTAAATAAATGTAAGTAGATATTATGCACTGACTTGGACAAAAGACCTATTTTAAACACTATCATTATTTCAATCCTTGATCACTTTTTCAGTTTACTTTAAAAATAAAATTAATTCTACTTGTAGAAACATCAAATACGGCTAAAAACAAACCCAAGGTATTATTTTCAAAGTACAAAAGTCTTTATATATAAGGTAAAATTGCTTTGGGGCCATTAGAGAAAATGGTAACAGCAACATTCTGACAAAAAATTACCCAGTAGGAGAACAGAAATAAACACCCTGTATTTACAGGTCACCCCCCAGTGTTACCACTGTTACCAGATCACTGGGAACCAGAGGTGTCCTTCAGTTACTAAACACACAGAAATATAAAAATAAATTTTGGATAAAAAAGCTATCCAATCTTTTCAAAGCCCCATTTCTGAAACACTTTAATACTTCATTTGCTTACAAATGAAACTGTCTACAGCAAACTTCAGGAGCCATTTTTTCACCCACAGTACTCATACCTGCCTCAGCTTAAGAATGCTTCCCCACACCCAGAGCCGCACAAAAGAGAAGCAGTGATTGTTGAACACAATCACTCTAAAGCCACACCAAATATGATTTCCTTGTAGACAGCAACACCATGTCACTTAGTCATCTGAACTTTCCACCAGATTTCAACAAAGACATTACATACAAAAATATTCTGAGGGTAGTTTTAACTCACCTAGTTTCAGCATTTTCTCCCTGTACAAAATCAGAAGGACAACTTCAGTGTCGTGGCAGAGTCATATAGACTCGAGGAACGTGAGCAGCCACCCAGCTGATACATGTACTGTGGCACCTGTATCACTTTCAGGAAGACTCAGTCCTTCTTAAGAATCATTCAAGAAAAATTTATATCATCATTCTGAAAAATCCACCACAAGCTTACTACACAAATGCAATGAAAGACACTGGTCAAAAACAGTCACCTTCAAAGTTGTCTTGCTTGTTATTCTGGGAGCTGGCTTTCGTCACTTGTAGTGGAATGCATTATGTAGTCTTTAATTGTGAATCCAGAGAGGTCTCCACATTCACAACAGGGATGGACTGGTTGCTGCTTGTACTCGCTCCCCATTAACTACGACTACATAGAAACACAGGACTACCTATGATAGGTGAACAGGAGTATTTTCAAAATCAAGCAGAAACAGGAAGTCTAACGTTTCAACATGTTAGAAAAAAGAAACAGATACTTAAAAAAAAGGGCGGGGGGAGCGGCCACATTCACAGATGCCTGGAAAAAAGAAAATCAAAAACCACCTCATTCCTACCTGGCCAGTAAAAACATGAATGTCTATTAATAATAAGTATTGCTTAGAGGCATTCTAGTTCTCAGGAGAGCTAGAAAACACAGTTTGGACAACATCGTGATTTAAAATCATTAGCCTTTTGCTTTTTAAGAGAATGTAAGGTTTTCATCAAGAATTTGAGTGTATCTAGACACACACAATACACATATGTATACAACACCCAATATGCATATACACAATATGCATATATACAATCTTTAGGAGTTGATTTATAACCTGGGCATTTGGCAGTCACTGCCACACACAAATCTTTCCCTTAACTTGCTCCCCATTAACTACGACTACATAGGTAGTCGTAAGACTGCCAGTCCTACAAGGCTCACTTCAAGTGTACCCATTCTATGACGCCTCTTCCTCGATGACCCCAAACAGTTATGTATGATCTCAGCCTCTGTAAAATAACACTCTGCCTTGAGCCTACCAGGCACCCAGCAAAAAAGAGACCAAGTGGAATGCAATGGACAAGCTCTCTGAAGTTTGCTAGGTCTGGTTCAAATTTCATTGACGCCATTTTCTGGTTTTATAGACTTGCTAGTTATCTAACCTCCCTGAGCAATTTTGCACTTCTGTAAAATGAGAATAACATCATCAACGTCCTAGACTTGCTAGTTATCTAACCTCCCTGAGCAATTTTGCACTTCTGTAAAATGAGAATAACATCATCAACGTCCTAGAATTGCTATCAAGATTTAAAGAGAACCATGTGAGGCAAATAACACACTGCCTGATAAACAGTACGTTCTCAAGCAGTAACGAACATTATTATTGCCCTAAATTAAAATCAAATGCCTACTACTAATATCGGAAGAAGGCCAAAAGAGCTACCAATTCAACATCAATTTACAAAAATATGTATACATTTCTTATTTTCTTCAGCCTACATTACCATGTGACTAACTCATAGAGGTGCAAAGTTTATAAACTTGGAAGCCATCTTTTTTGTGTCCCTTTGTGTTATCTCCCCAAATTCTGACTGATTCTTCATGCTATGAAAACTTCATCTAGGACTAAGCATCACAGAAGATAGGAGAAAACTCTTTATAGTGCAGGATTGTAAATAACAATGACCTCTCAAAGCTCGATTCATTGTTAATTGCAAGTATAAGTTAGAGAGGGCAGAAATGCTATGTCTAAACAGAGGAACAGGCCTCTCACATTTCCCTAAAACATGGCCTCGGTGGTGGATGCATGCATGGCTAGGTGGTCACCAGGAACTACAATGTCCATTACTGCTAGGGGAGTAGAGGACAATCGAGTAATACTATGGGAAGGGAAGGCTGGAGAAAGCATTCTGCAGCCCTATATGAAAACAATTGTCAACATGGTGGCAGAGCCCTCACACACACTCCAGGCCCTGTCAGGGAGGCACCAGTAAGGTCTTGACACTGGGCAAGGGCAGAAGAGGCTGCACATTTACAGCTTCAGGAATCCACCGGGCACCTCCACACCCAGGAGGGCATTCCTGATTTTGGAGAGAGTCTTCAACAATGGGAGAACAAATATCAAAGCATCTGTATGAGCATTTCCTTAAGACATCCCTCTTCTTTCACTGGAGACAAGAATGCCCAGGTTGTCCATTTTCAGATCCATTCAAAGCTTGCTGTCTAAAGCAGTCCCAGAAGTTGGCATTATATTCTGCTCATCCTACTTTATTTGGGAAGAAAGACGAATCACAGCCAGAGGCTAAAGAGCAGGGAGATTCTCAAGTAACTATTTGTAGTGTAGGCAAACTTCACAGAATAGCCTTATGTTACAAAACAACAAACAGTCTTCAGTTGTCTTTGCAGATATAAATATATACAGTGCTTCCATGCTTCCCTAGAACTTGAAAATTAAGATACTGGGTAGATTCAAGCTTCAACAATAGCGATGGTCATCCCATGCAGATGTATTACCAATGTTCTGAGCCAGGACAGAACAGGCAGCTGGAACTTCCTACCTTAGAAACCCCACCTAGCCGGGCTCAGGGGCTCAGCCTGTAATCCCGCGCCTTTGGGAGGCTGAGGTGAGTGGATTGCCTGAGCCCACGGGTTCGAGACCTGCCTGGGCAGCAAGACCTCATCTCTACAATAAATTAAAAAATCAGCTGGGCGTGGTAGCACATGCCTGTAATTCCGGCTACTTGGAAGGCTGAGGCGGAAGGACCGCCGGAGCCCAGCAGGTTGAGGCTGCGGTAACCAGGAGCGGCCACTGCACTCCAGTCTGGGTGACAGAGTGAGACTCCAACTCAAAAAAAAAAAAAAAAAAGAAAAGAAAGAAACCCTATCTAGTGGTCTAGTGGCTACAGAATCTGTCCACACCTAGCTTTCTAAAGGCAATTTGCTCTGGAATACAGGTGGTTCTCCGTCTTTTTCCTAGCGAGCACAGTTCTGAAGCAGGAGCATGGGGCTGCTCAGCACCCCAGTCCTCAGCCCCAGGGAGTGCAACTGGCACTGCCAGTCACAGAGGCGCTCTGGATCGTCACAGAGATACTAAATAAGCTGTCATTAGGGAAGTCTGGGGCCATCTTATCTGGTATTTCTTCTCTCTCTGTAACCACATGACAGTAGCCATGAAAAAACCAGATTCTCCTCTTCTGTGCATGTGCACCCCACGTTATCAAGGCATCTCCAAGCAAAGCACTATCACTTAAATCATTTCACTCTCCCCACGCCCAGGAAAAGTGGGTGGCAACTCCAGTTTCCAAAGAGATTAGCAGAGCAGAAGAGGTTAAGCAGCATATTCAACAGGACCCTGCATGATGGGGCAGGGCTATGGAGAGAAGCCATAATGCCTAACTGCTACCCTCCCAGAACAATCTCCAGACACATACTCTTTCTCACTGTCCTAGTTTCATCAATTGCTTGCTACATACCCCAAGAAAAATATTTCCTTTGCAGCCACCCACATCCTTATCAGCAGTACATTCAACAAAATCACCACAAGAGTGATGAAATTTGTGCCTGTATGAAAAAGATACCTCCATTTGCTTATTTCATCTAATTCTATAGCCTAGACAGAACTGGAAACGTCACCAAACAGCTTGACTTTTATGTTTGGGCATTCTCTAGATGATTTTTAATCCCTAGAGCACAATACCAGGACTACCAAAATTAATCACTTTCTGTTCAACTCTTCTCTCTTTCCATCCGTCTTCTCTGGACCCTTCTCTTCTGCCTGGGTCCCACCCATGCCAACTCTTACAGGGGCCTCCTTAAAATCGTGGCCCTAATCACAGCCTCCTTCTCCATTCAACTTGCTCCTCTTAGTCCCTCTCCTCTTCAAGGAGGAAGAAGTCCTTGGTAAAGTGGGGAGGAAGGCAGGCTGAGCAGGAATTATTCCAGGAGATTCAGTGCCTGACGTTGGCAACATGCTCAGAAGTGTTTTCCAGATGTTTTGATAGAGACAGCAGATGGTCAGACTCACCCTCACACCTAAGAAAGGCCTTGCTTGGCACAGGACTCACAGTCCACATTGTGACAAGGCTAGGGAAATCCCACTGCTAAGCACCTCCTAGATGGCCACAGTGCATGATGCACTCAGTCCTCACCAAAACCCTGGAAGGTGGTCACTCTTATGCCCAAGTAACAGGGGAGGACACTGAGCTCATAAAGGTAGCATATCTGTTTAGTGAAATGCTAGGCTATGGACCTAGTTACGACTCACTCCAACGGTGCTGGGTATTTTCTCTTCATATAATTTCATATAATATATTAAAGTGTATGTGATTCTCCAGACAGATAGCACAAAGAGTGGCCTATATGGAAAATAAAAAGAATACCTGGCAACTGCCTTCCAAAGCCAGGTAGAGTGGTGAGTGAAGCAGTGTACACAGGTGCTGCTGAGGGCCAGCAGTGAGGTCAAGACTGCTCAGGTCTGTCATCATGGCAACTTCCATTCAGGGCCTCCCACCCACAAGCTGCACAAAAACTAAGTATGAGAAGGCAGGCTTTCTCTCATGTAGTATGTGCTTCTATGTGTAAAGTATACATTTTATAAAAATGTTATTCCTAGAAGCAAAAAAGAAGACTGACTTCTAGTTTCTCTGAGAATCATGTAACTTCAGTGTTGGTGAGACCACTGATGCCATCTAACCTCATTTCATGAGTGAGGAGAATGATGCAATCCAAGAAGGTTAAGGTGTACCTAAAAATCCCACCAGCTTTGAGCAGCACAGCTGTGGCACTTGCCGGGTCTTAGGCCTCCAGAATGAGCATCTAGGTCCGTCTTCCTATGATTCATGTTTGAATCTCTTTTCACACTTGCACCACCAACGAAAACACTAAATCAGCATTTAGAAAGCAAAGAAATGCTGACTGTTGGCTGCAATAAATATGCTGGCACTTGAATGTGGTTTATTCTCCACTGAACTGAGTATAAACAGAGGCCTGACATTTTATAGCATTCTTCCATTGCAAAACCTCATGTAAAACTGAACATGATCCCCAGTAATAAAATACTAAACTAATTAAACTCCCAATTTGCCAAGAAAAACTATCCAATTGTAGAGTAACTTTCTCTATAAATTTCTAGAATTTCTGGTCAATAGGCAACATATGATATTTCCCAAGCTAAATTCCTCCTCCTCCCTCCATCATCAACCTGCTATTTTTTTTTCTCTCTGTTCTAACTTCTCTGGCTCCTGTCAACACATTGTCACTTGTACATCACTGATTCCTCTCTTGGTTTGGGTGGTCACTCATTCACCAGGTTCTGCTGTCTTCTCATCTGTGCCTCTCTCATTCTCATTTCCATTTGGATTCTGTTAAACCTTTTGCTTTCAAGGTTGCAGAAGATGGTTTCTTGAAAAGACAATATTCCAGTGAATATCAGCCAAGCAGATCTACTCTGCATTT